GTTCTTTTGAATATCTAGTAGGGACGCTATCACTCAAAGAACAGAAACATAAATACTAACCTATAGAAATATCACAAGATACTTCAGGTGTCACTCCTAGCCCCAGACCCCCCAAGCCCCACTTCCCTAAAAGGTGCTAATCTTTAGCGGGGCTATTAAGGGTCACGTGGCAACACAAACACTGATGCAAGATTCAGCACTGGGCCAGCACAAGAATTTCAACATGTTGACCTTAGTGCAGGAAGCCGAGGCCTGGGTAAAATCACTTCAAACGTCTGTGCTTCTTCATTCCTTTTAGATATTAAACGCTTTCGTAATATTAGCTGAGAAATGCCAAAATTAAATGGCGAATGAAATGTCTCCCAGAGTTCTACCCTCCATGGGCTTCTCCTAGCTGTAAAACTCTAATTGCAAAACTCTTCAGGAAGCTTCCGCACTAGTGAGCACTTGACTCAACTCCTTGCATAATACCCACTGGCAGTGTTGTTCTCTGATATCTCAAAATGAGTGTCCTAAACCTCAGGGCCTGTGTAAATGGCTCAAATAAAGCATCACTAGTGAACTTTTACAATATTTCACTAAAGAAATATTTAAAGAGGAATCTTAGAATTGCCCATGCCATTGCTACGAATGTACATGGACTAAGGCTTGAGGTTTCTAAGCAGAATGCACAGGCAACATGGTGTCATGTAAAATGCAGAACGTAGAGCACTGGATTCATGAAGGCAGCTGATGCTTGGAGCATGCATCGGGGTGTACGCCAGCAGGCCCCCTTCCCACAGCCAGGCATGCTTGAGCTTACAGAGCACAGGGCACAATGGAATCATGTCTGCCGACCAGCCACAGAGGAGCCAAAGCAAGCCTAAGGAAGCCAGAGTGACAGATGCTGTTTGGAAAACGAATTTGGCCTACACAGGGCAATGCTGAGGGAAGGCAAATATTGCTTTGGGTCAAGCAGCAGATTGAGGCGATCAAAACAGACCTCTGACCCAGATTTCCTTTTGGCCGTATCGTCTATATTGAGGAGGTCCCCAAAGCGCTCATTAGTGATAAACTGATGGTGCGTCGGAATGACGCCTGTGTGGCGTCGGGCTGCAATATCGGCCTCTTCTTGCTCGCGCTTAAGCCGTCTCTGGTCCGCTAAAAGTTTCTGCCATGAAATTGCATAAAATGGGCAGTAAATCATCTGGTCCAGGGTATTGCAAAACTGCCAACAAAAATAACTAAGGAAAAAGGTGTTGGGTCAACAGGGAGGAAATGTCAAGGGTCAGATGTGGAAGGGTTTGTGGCCACAAGTACAGTTTCTGCTGTCACCACCCACCCGAGGGAGGGAGAAACCAGGGAAGCCGGGACATGGGGAGGGAGGAGTTCCACACAGATCCATTAGCTGCAGGTTGTTCCCTGGCTCAGCCAAAAGCCTCCTGCCTCCTGATACATGGCAGCAAAGGCTGGGGGCCTGGTGGGGGGGTATCTGGAACACACACACACACACACACACACATGCTGGGGGGGCGGAGACACCTAGGTGCTAGTCTTACCTCGCTCGCGGGGACTGATGAGTCCCCAGGGTATTCCCAGGACTGGCTGAGTCTTTCTGCCCAAATTAGGCCTATAAAGCCACTATGGGCCTTGGCTATGTGTAGTTTACGGTGACTGGGTCATGTTTGTGCATGGTGTGTCTGCTGTGCTACTGTGCTCAGGAGGGCAGAGAAGCCTACCTCAGAAACAAGGGCCCGTTCCCCCAGAGGCAGCCAACTCTTCCTTTGGACTTAAGAATTTTTAGGAGGATGCATCAGAGGTCATTTATGTGACTGCTAGAGAACATCAGTTACTTTTGTACTTAACTGTCAATATATATTCATGAGGTGAAGTGAAGCTTGGTTTAAGGGGATGACGTATAACATGAATACAAAAGACAAATTCGGAACAGTAATACTAGGTTTAGAAGAATTAGTCTCTCCTTATTTAACAGTTACGTTAAAATAGTTATTCCCTAAAATAGTCATTTCAAAGACCTTTAATAACAATAATGTTGTACTTTACCAAATATCCTCATGGTCTTTTAATGACCTTTAGAATAGAATTCTAGCATTTCTCTACCCCATACCAACCATACAGTTCTGGACTAACATTCTTTGTAGGAAAGCATTAACTAGAACAGGTAATTCTTAGCATTAGTCTTCTTCCAGCAGGCAATTAAAGGCCCAAGGGGCAGCTAGCCCAAGGTGGTTGTGATTTTTTGAGTCTACAAATAATATAGTAACAATTCACCAGACAGTTGTGGGGTTTTCAGTACTCAGGTAAGTTGTTGTGAAGTTAAAATGCAGAGACATGAGAAAGTGCTTTGCACAACACAGCACCACATAAAGGCACCAGCTCAGCAGTGTGGAGCCCAGGTGGCCAGCTCTGCCTCTGGCGTGAGCCACCTGGTTAGAGGGCCTGGCAAGCCCCTCCCCTGTTGCCGTCATTGCCTGGTTAAGACCCAGGGGACTGGCTGGATGACCACTGGAACCTCCTCCCAGGACCGGCATGTTCTCATTTTCTGAAATGCCATTACTATCAATGGTAATAATAAAGCACTTGCAGAGAAAAGCTCAGGAACGGTCACCCCATTAGCTGGGAAGTATGCATTATTCTGTCATACTGGGGAAGACTGATGCTCCCCTTGTGCTCTGATGAAGGATAAATAACATCAGTGAATGTGGTTCCGTCCAGTGCTTGAATCAGACCTCAAGAAATCCACCCTTTGCCACTTAAGCCACAAACCATGGAAAACACACACATTTTTAAAGATCCGTGAGTCATTGTGATTCAGGAAACAATCTACTTACATTCTGAATGCACTGTAAATCTATCAGTTGCTAGACCATCAAAGTAAAATCTGCCTCCCATGTTGTAGGTGATGATGACTCGACCATAAAACCTTCCTCATTGGGTCCTAACCAGTTTAAACCACTAAATATTATGTCACCTCCTTTACCAAAGGAGGACCTTACAGAGGTGGGAATCTTGTATATCCATGACAGTGGCAGAATGAAGCTGTTCTGTGGCTTGATGGACACTCCCTGTGAGTTTTCCACTTTGCTATTAATAATTCTATAAATCTAGTGCTTTCTCTGGTCTCTTTGCAGGTAGATGAAGGTGTCTTACTGAGGACTGTCTGCAGGTACCCAGACAGGGGCGAACCCTCCTCTTTTGTAGTGTCACCATCTGGCAGGGATGCTTATTACCATCCAAGTCAGCCTAACTGAAAATCCTTAAGGAAGATACATGCAGACCCTGGAGCCACCCAACAGAATGCCATGGGGCTTCAAGATTTTTCAGGGAAAAGGACAGAGTTGTGTATACATGAATACTCCCTGTCCCCGCCATCAGCTTCAATGCTATTCTTCTACCTCTTAACTCATTACAGGAAAATGGACATTGGTGCCTGTGTCAGCCACAGGAATGCATAGCTCAAAAACATGCCTCCCAGGAATGCTGTGTCATGACAGAAGCTTGGGGTCTTGCCCACTGAGAAGACAGGCAGAACTGCCTCTTCCTAAGTGCCCAGGAGCTGAGCTCCTTCCCATCATTCACCACTTCAGTACAAAGAGGACAGAGATGGTTCAAGTCCTGAGGCTCTTGGCTATGGCTGACCCAACCTTTATTGGAATTTCTCTTTTCCTCAAACTGTTTTATAAAATGTATCATGGTTACCTTATTGTTATCTTATGTTCTCCTCTTTTGCTTACTTTTTGGTTACTTTGCAACCTTCCTAATTGGCACTATACTTTGTGCCATCAGGGGGGTGAGCGATACTGGAGAGATAGGAGGTGTTTCCTTAGAAAATATCAAGGCCTCCTCTTCCTCCTCCTGACCCCACCCTCACACCCCACCCCAGGTGGAGGAGAGATGAGAATGAAGCAAACTGCAGGCTCCCATTTCTGAGGCACTGAATGCAACCTCTCCCCAGACCTCCTCAGCAATGGTACCAGGTGCATTTGGCACTTAGAGCCTAGCGCCTGTGGGTAAATCAGTCCTCCTTTTTGGAAAAGTGGACTAAAAGAGGAGTGACTGAGCCTAAGTCATATGGAAAGTCGCTTGCAAAACGCCAATCTTTGTTTCTAATTGCACGGCCACGTCACCTCTCTGGTCTGCCCAGAATGTCTACTTCCTTCATATTTTTATCGACGTAAGAGGTCAGAGCTTTTAAAGACGGCATTTACCTCTTTATCATCGTGACGTCTTCGAATAAATTCTTCTGTGGATTCCAAATAATCAGCTGGTATAAAATGCCTTGGTGATTCTGAATCTTCAAAACAACAAAGTAGAATTAAAACAGGCAAAGATGTACTGGGACAGACTGGGGAAAGATGTTACCTCTTATCCGTTAACTATCATTCATGTTCTGATAGTCACTGTCTAGTTATCAATCATCAAATTCTGGAAAAAAGACAACAACAACACCCAAATCCCCCTTCCGCCTTTTGGGTTTACTCATCAACTATTCTGATACAAAGAAACCCAATTTGAAGGCAAATCTGAGGAGCGAGAGAGACCTTTGGAAAGTGTCCCTACTCAGAGGCGTGCAGGTTCTCACAGGGACACACCGTACACCACACACACAGGGCCACCGAGATAGGCTGCCTCTCAAAAAACCACGGGTGCGGTGGGGTTGGTGCAAACTGCAAGGGGGTTGAGAGTTCGGATGAACAAATTTCTCAGATGAGCTAAACGGCCAATTTTTCTTTCGAAACAGAGTTTGGTGGTTAGTCGAAATGGCATGGGGGTTTGTTTTTAAAGAAGAGCAGCCACTACGAGCCGTGATTAATTGCCAAGCCAAACAAACAGAAAACAAAGGACGGACCAGAAAATGAGCACCGTGGGCACACAGGAGGGGACAAAGCAAGCAGAGCAGACAGACGGGTGAGGTGAGACTGGGCATATACACAAAGGCCACCTCCGAGGGACGTTCCCAGTTCACTTTGTGGGTTGTTGTTCCTGTCCAGGCTGTGGTCTGTGGCCAGCACAGAGTTCCCATTATTAGAGGCCCTCGGGCAGTCCTCGGGGACCTCGGGTCTCTGCTGAGGGGGCTCCGACATCCGGCTCAGCCTGGCCATGGTGTGCCGGGAGGACAGGCGTTTGGGAACCGAGGGCTTCCCCCCAGCGTGGGGCTCGTCCTGGTGGGGCTGACCGGGGAGGTCTGGCTTCTGGCCGGCCGGGGGGCCTGGGAAGTCGCCAGCGGCAGGCTGTCGGGGCTGGTGCTGGAGGGGCTTTTTCAACCGAAAAGGCAGGGGGCTCATCAGGTAGATGTTCCTGAGGAGCGTGCTCTTGTCCCCTCGGGCATCCGGGCGCCAGTCAGGCTGCCTGGGGCTCTGCTGCTGCTCGTGCTTCCGGATGGTGGTGAAGCGGGTGTAGGAGGCCGGGCAGGTGCCCTTGCACTTGTTGAGGCGGTGCTTGGGGAAGTCTCCGTGGACACTGCCGCTGCTGCCCTCCCTGCTGTCGCTGGAGAGGGTTGAACAGCGGTCGAGGTCGTCAGAGCAGGCAGAGAGGGGCTCAGAGTGCACGAGGCCCCTGAAGCCCAAGGAGGGGTCTGCCATACTGCTGCACGAGGGGGAGGCATAGACGCCCCGCGGGTTCATCCCGTCCATCTCCCTGGGCTGCAGCTTGGTCGACTCGAGGAGGGACTCGGCCGAGCGGGCTGAGCTCAGGCCACTCCGGGACAGCGCCGGCGTGGGGGACTTGCTCAGCCTCCCAGACAGGTCCAGGGATGGCATGGACCGGGACCGCTGAATCAGCTGCTCAAAAGCTGTGATGCGGGAGGAGACGGTGTGCTTGGGGATGTGTTCTGAGCCCTCCTGGTTGGGGCCCAGGTCACCCTTGGCCAACGCCAGGCCGCTCCTTTCAAAATGGGAAGCCAGATCCCGCACACTGGAGGAGGTGACAGATCCCGAGAAGAGGCCGGCTCGGTTGATCTGATGCATGTCCCGGTAGAACATGGAGAACTGCATTCCAGACTTTCTCGAGAGAGGGCAGGGCCGCCGGGCGCTGCTGCCATACTCTTGCAGGCTCATGGTGCTGCTCGACTTGCTGTCATAATCCCGCCGGGAGCGCATGAGCAGATTCTCGATGCTCCCCCCTACCTGCAGGGGCAGACCTCGCTTGGCATCGTTCAGAGAAGCTGAAACGCACAGGTTCTCACAGCTCTGAGCCTTCTCTGATGGCAACAGAACACTCTTCTGTTCCTGCAAAAGAGTGCTGGGTGCAGAGAGCCTGGGTTTGAATTTGGAGGGAAGGATTTCTGAAATGCAGGCTTTCGCAGCGGACAGGGGTTTCTTGTGCTTACACACAGGGCCTAACACACTGCTAGTGTTAACCGTTCGGCTATGGACTGAAGATGAAGAAATCATGTGAGCATTCCCACCTTTACGATCCACTGGAAAGCATGCAGAATAAAATAAATAGACCCATTAGGTTAAAGCCAAAAGCTGCTTAAAAAAACAAAAAAAGAAAGAAAGAAAAGGAGGGGTAACATGCTCATTTGTCATAAGGGCTTTATAAAAAAAATTTCCAGTTGATGTCCAGAAGCAAAATAATCTGTGCTGCAAAGCAGGCGCAAAGATGCAACGAAAAAATGGCCACCCTGCTGGAGTTAGGAAAGGCTACAGTTCAGCTAACTTCTACGAAGAGGAGGTCAGAACAAAAAGAGAGAAGAGATGCTTCAGGGAGAGCAGGGTAGGGTTCAAAGGAAGGGAACTATTAATACCAGAAAGAAAAATGGCCGGCGAGAAACTGGCGGGGCCTAGGAGGACTGAGAGGCCTGCGGGGGGCCTGGCAAGGCAGAACTCATCCCAGGTGCTGGAGGGTCACCTGCTGCTGGCATCTCAACCAGGGGGCGGTCGGGCTGGAGGCCTCCGCCTCGCCCAGTTACCTTTGGTGGAGGCCGAGCTGGAGGGTCGCTTGAGCCCACTCAGGCCCTGCAGAGGGATGTCTCCACCTTCCAGGACGCTTTTGTAAATCTGTCTCTCGTTCTCCAAGCTAGCGAGATCCCCGGGCGCCCCATCTGATTCCCTCTTCACTGCGTGGAAGTTGGAAGAATATATACTAAGAACAGTGTAATTTGAAAAGAGAGAAAAGAAGAAATAAAGGTAAGAATAGGAGTCACAACTTAAACATTTTTCTTAAAAAGCACTTTACCAGTAGAGGACAGAAACATATTTCCCAAGCAGCGCATCAAGGCCCGTCCCTCGTAAAGGGCACTGGTACAGAAACACTCAATTCTGCAGCCAGACAGTCTCTGCGCTCGCCGGGTACCCAGGAATCACATCCAACAGCAAAGTACTCCCCGAGCACCAGCACTGCACTAGTGCTTTAAAAGAGTAATTCTGGAAACACTGACTGGGGAGAGTCTCCCCTGGAAGAAATGCTCCCTGGAAGGTAGAGGCGGGAAGGGCTGGGGGCTGGAAGGAGGGTAGGGGGAGAGAAGGAAGACTGAGAAAAGAGGAGGGGGCAGGCCTGGAGGGGAGGGGGGAAGGCAGGAGTGGAAATGGGAGGAGACCATGCACCCTTCCAGTAATGGGAGCTGGGGGCCAGTGGCTGTAGGTAAGAAGGGACAGCTGAGTGGAACCTCTGACAAGTTGCCACTCAGTGTTGGTAACGTCGAGTGTGCCAGTCAGATTATTTTTCTGGGTTATTCTTCACAAATGCTATAACTGATGGAGCATTAAAATCGACACCACACTCCCCTCCGCCCCCCAGAAAATAAATGAAAGAAATTCCACACTGAAAGGAGAAGGCCTTGCTGTCCTGGGTCTCCAGGAAAATCCGTGACAGTGAAACTGGAGTCTGGGATTCCATGTGCTCCTGTTAACTCCAGCCAGATTTCACCCCACTGGGAATCTTATGCATGTATTGTGAGCATCAGCTAGTGCTCTTTTATACCCTTCATTTATATTTATCTTGTTGAAATTCTAGGTATTTTTGCAAGTCACCACAAATCCTTTTGGAATGAGGTGGGGCACAGAAAAAAATTAAAAGCATTAACTTACAGAACCTCTCCCTTTCCATAAAGCCAGTTTTCTATGTCCTCATCCACTAAAACACAGACACGTGGGTAGTGGATGGTGTCTCCCTCGCTCAGATAAGTGAATGGCCCCTTTCTCGCAGAAGTGCTCAGGCTTCCATTAGATGGCTGTTCCAGCCCACTAAAGTCAGTTTATTGCTATCAAGATGGATTTTATTTCTGAAGATGTACATGAAGAGAGCCTGATGGAGACTCTTTGCCCTGTAATCTTGCTATGGATACTATCAAGTGTATAAAAATACTTTAGGAATGATAAGAGACCCCATATGCAACTGCCCCATCACTGAGTCTAGAGCTGTATTTATTTGCTTAAGCTCAACCACCACCTCATTCCCTCTATCCACCCCATCAATGACGGAACTGTTTTAGCAGCTTCTGTTGCCACAGTCACAGGGAATGGTGAAATGACACCCCTGCGGGACCCTGGACAGGAGTGTTGATGGACGCACTGTGTGGGACACCAGGGGATCGCTTCTCTTAGAGGCTCGCATACAACTCGCCTTTTTTTTTTTTTCCATTTTCAGACAAGGAAGTGACGCACAGGCAGTTAGTGGAAGAGCTGGAACTCAAGGTCTGTGTCCAGGCGCTACAGGGTGTTCTCAGCTGTGGCACGCTGCCCTACAACAGGGCTGGCAGGCACAGGTTGCCTGACCTCACACCTCTCTACTCACCAGCCATCAGAACTCACCCCCCACCCTCACTCAGTCACCGCACATCCGGTTTATTCTACCTGTTGTCATCCCGTGCCCTGCTTGTCTGAGGGAGCGATGAACCAGCCTGAGGAAAACCTCTCTGGGAGGTGCTGTTGTGGCCAATCGAGAAAGGCAAGCCGACATGCTTTTTTCAGATGTGTGACCTTTTGCACCTGAGGTGCTCCTGTTTAAAAACTATCTGAAAGTTCTGGAACAGTGTTTTTAATGTACTATCCGCACAGGCTGGCAGGACAGATACCCATTGCATCAAATGGGACACTGAGGACCAGAGCGGTGAAGGCATCTGCAGGGTCAAAGAGGTGCTGGGTCACTGCTATGTTCAAACAGATGAAAGCAGCCTGGAGCCACAGGCCGCTCTTTCCAGGCAGGATGAACAGCTGTGAGCCCTTCACAAAACAGGCTCAGTTCAGAAGCCCAGCTCAGAGCATTCTGGGTGCAGTCAGTTCTCAGAACGAGCAAGCTAAGAAGAGACACTATGGAGAACCCACCTCCCTGGCTAAGATGCAGAGTTCACTGCTGAGTTTCAAGGGGATTCAACAAAAACATACTCACTAGAAGGATAAAGTGAGAAAACAGAGCGATCATCTTAGCGCCAACCGTTCCAGTTGTGCTGACAGGCGGGCTCTGGAAGAGGCGCGGGTGGGGCCCTGGCAGGCTGCAGCCAACCTGACTCCAACACAGAGTGTGGATCAGCCGAGGTAAACCGGCCCATTTAAACACTTGGAAGCCACGTGTTCCTCTCATTTGCAAAACTAATAGGCAAAGTGAGACCGTGTAACAACAAAAACTCACCTTTACACCTGTAATCTAGGTAGACCTGTCTTTTGAACTCCAAACTCAGTTGCCTACTAGACATCTTCAACCCCCATTCATTCCCAGAGCAAACACAGCCTTCCCTCTGCCCCCATCATCCAAGCCAGAAAGCCCAGACAATCAAGCCTTCTCTCCTCTCTTTGTTCCCTAGAACTGATTAGTCCTTGGGACTTACTCTGTACCCTTGACACAGCTCCCATTAACCACTCTGCCCTGTACCCCCCTGCTCAGCACCCACCCCTGCTCACCATGCCCAGCAAGAAGCGCACCATCATCCCCAGATCCCAGCCCCAACTGCCTGCAGGCAGCTCTGCAAATCACTGCCAGTGATATTTCTAAAAAAGATTTCAGGTCATCCTACTGCTCATTTGAGTCTTTCAACAAGCATTTATTCAGCACCTACTAAGTGTCTATCACTCTCCTAAATGGGAATCAACAGGAAACAAAGAATTTCCAGTCTTGGGGTGTTTACTGTTCAAAACCACTTGTTGTTTTGAGGGAAAACAATGAACTTCTTCACTGTGGCTTTGGGGACAGGAGTCTAGACAATCTGGAAAGGGCAGTTTCATTTATAGCCTTTTGTAATAATGATGAAAATCTGCAATATTTATAATGTGCTATTCTTCTTCTTCTTCTTTTTTTAACTTGCTGCTCTTTCATAGCATTCTTTTCTTTCTCTCCAAAACAGAGTTGTCTCTCTTGAGTCCAACACTGTATTTACCACACTGGATGCTGTGTGTTATTTACCAGTCTGTCTCCCCATAATCTGCTCAGTCCTCTGAGGGCAGCCACTTATTTTATTACTCTGCACGGCTGGTGCCTAGCACTACTGCTCAATAAATATTAGCGGAAGAAATGACTATAAAATTAAACGCCCACATGCATACAGATTTCAGACACATTTTTAAGGCCAAGGGGAGTCTCAGATATTCCATGTGGTTCCCTAGGTAATGATCTGAGATGTGACCTTGAGTCAGATTAAGGGGAAAGTGCGTTTTTTTCTCTTGGGAACCATCATTACCGCTTAGGAAAGGGCAGCTTGTCCTTGAGTGTCACCTTCTGGCCAAACAGAGTAAGGCTCTTCGGACAAGCAAAAAAAAAAAAAAAAAAAAAGTAGTACTGTTAGCAGTGCTGACATGAGACTATGAAAATAATGAGTAGTTATACTGTTGATTTATGGCTCTGAAAACTCTTATGGAGGTGAAATGCAAAACTGAACATGCACTGTGGTTGCAATTATAGAGAATTACCTTGAGAGGAACAACTGGTATTTGCATTACGGACTATGGGAATTTGGTACTCTACTCCCAAGCTATTTTAATGTTGAGATAGGTGATCATGTTAATAAAATTCTAAACTGTGGTTCAAGATAAGAAAATGAATTTAGAGCAACACCATCACTTCTGCAGTGATCTCAAGTTTTGAACCTGGGCCATGTCTGGCTCTCTCTCCTCCCTCGGGGTAAGGTTAAGGCCAAGTGTTGCTAGTGCTTCTTCCAGTTTGTCATGCCCATCCATGCAGTGAGGGGCGCAGATTCAACTCACAAGCTGCCTGCCTCAGCGCAGGGGAGTTCCGTGTGGTTAATTAAGACTTCTCGTACTCACTCTGCAAACATTTATTATGTACTCTCCTATGAGGCAGGCACGGCATATAAGCTGGCTCCTCACCAATTCCAAATATGGAAAAATCTTATTTGAACAAACTGGGAGAAAACCATGCCTGAATTAATGAAAAATCTCCAAATAGTAGAACAGCAGGAAGAGAAAAACTCATCTATCCCTGCCAAGTCTTTCATGAGAGCTAGGCTATGGCTGAAAATGGAGATCGACCTGGCCCTATTTTGATGAAATGGAGTGCTGGGTAAATTCCACATCAAATATCTGCACACTCAGAAATAGCCAGTGTCTGAAAGCAATACGATCTTTTAAGCAGCTTGCACTAGTCTCCTTCAGTCCTGCTAACACAATCACACAGTTGCTTACACTGTTTTTGTTTTTAGTCACTCAAACCCCCCCAGCAAATCTTAGCATACTTTCTGTTACTTTATTATGCAATTTTTGAATTAATATGTTGCAAGTGATGCATGAATCAGCATGTCCAGGTGAAGCAACCTTTACTGCTGACATCAGCCCTCTGAACTAGAACTTTCGCTCCTGTGGCTACAGCACTGCCACCGACCACTTGTGGAATGTGGGTGTGACCTTACCTTTAGAGTCTGTTTCCTCACCCATACAGTGGTGATCAGAAAAGACATCTGATCCAGGATGCTGAGAGCATTAAATGAGGCAAAGTACAAATGCATTAAGCATAGGCTGGACATGTCTGCGATCAGTAAGTTACAATTATGACTTCATTCAAGACCTGTGCTCCTACCCTGGGCAGCCTGTGGGAGTTGCTTTCTTTTCTAAACACTTTTAACCTACTTCATTTATTTGCTACTTGGCTTTTTTGCTTATTCCTCCAACTGTTACAGGACTGCACCTTACGCTCCATTG